GGAGGGAGAGAAAGAGAAAGAGAGAGTGAGGCAGAAGCGGAAGGAGTTAAGGGGGAGAGGGAGGGAGTTGCAAATCAAACAAAGAATAAAACAGCGAGAGACAGACAAAGAGCATGAATAGAACTATCTATCTACATACCGTTGTCTATCCACCTCTCAGTCCCCTCATAGGCATCGAAGGTGAACGCATAGCCTGTGTCCCCGTACATTGTCACGTCATTTCCTAGAAGGCGACCATTGTTGTCGAAGCCAACCTAAAGAAACATTTGTAAACTCTTAAAATGGGGCTCTCATGCTGAAGAGGTACCGTGTTCCCTCATTCTATAGGTTCCGGGTTCGAAACCTCATAGCGAACGGAAAATCTTCCCTAAACAAAAATTGTTTTTTATATTCTCCTTTCACCCCCTTTCCTGCTCTCTAACCATGTTTTGCCATCTGTTCTCGTCTCACTTTCTGCCCCCCCCCCCCTTTTGTGCCCTTCCTTGGGGCTCCTGGGCATTCTTCTGCCTTTGCACTGCTACTCCTTGGCTCCTTTTTACGGCAGGCGAAAAAAATCTCGCAGGACCCGTGTGCAAGTTTCACATGTTATAGAATAATAGATCCCTTGGTGGTCATAAAATTGATAAGAGTAGCTTCAGTCACCACCCGGGCAAAAGTCAAAATTAGGATCCTACTAAACTGAAAATGCTTAATGTGTCCCGCACGTTCATAAAACCATATGCAGTTTTCGAGCGCCGTAAAACATTTTAAAAAATAAATCTATAAGAAGAAATTTAAAATACTGAAGACCGTTCCATATTAATCGTAGGCAACCAATTTTGTCTTTGGATTATAGCACCATAAACCTCCATATAACTCCACTGCAGTATAGCCATTTTAGGTCATATAATAACACCAAACTGAGTAGAAAGGAATGCTCCATGCAATAAACAGTCAGTTTGATTATTTTAGATGAGATGGGTTTGCTGGGCTTTAGTATTATTGTTATGAATAAAAAATATGAAATAAATTAATTACAATGAATTGATCTGCGTGGAGAAATTAATATGGGTTATTACGGCAAACAGGCATACACATGTACATAATTAAACACACAGACATAATACCAAGTACACAGTTTTGCACCCATGCAGACAATTTTATAAACATGTCATTGCTGGTCGCCACTTTGCAGAGCCCCTTTTTTTCTCAGCTTGTCTTATTCAAGGACACACCCCGGTGACCACTCACCTTAACTCCGTGTCACCGGCACTTGTATGACACATTTTTAAAGTCTGAATTAACTACTTACTGTATGTGTATGTGTGTGTGTGTGTGTGTGTGTGTGTGTG